CTCTCTCTCTCTCTCTCTCTCTCTCTCTCTCTCTCTCTCTCTCTCTCTCTCTCTCTCTCTCTCTCTCTTTGCCTCGGTCTTCTTCTTCGTCGTGGTCTCCTTGCAGGTGCGCGGCGGCTTCTTCAATCTCAGGTCCGCTATGGCGGACTATCTCCTTCGACTGCCACCTCGGCTACGGCGCATCAAGCCCTGCATACGACGGCGCGCATGGAATAGCGGGTACCAGCTCCGATACCAATGCAATCAGACTCGTTCTCAAACCCACTTTTCATACATGTAAACAGCAACTCAGCATACTGGCAACATGCACCCACTCATGTCGCCACTCAAAACTCAGAGATATGGCTTTCAGATACGAGTTCACTCTATGGCGACTTCAGCGCCCAAACATCTCACTGTTCACATACACTGGATCACCCTGGCTATCCCACACGCATCACTGTAACACTCGAACACACATACACACTCACTACTAACTGCAGCTATGGCAGCTATCGCTGCATCTAACCTATCGCTATGCTAACTCCCTCTCTCTTGCCCACTGCGTCCTCCGGGCTCATCTGCAGACCTCCTTGCACAAGTTGCTGTGGCAGCACTTCCGCATGGCTCACGCCGGATTGAATGAATGGCTGGGCGCTGCCTCTTGATTTATACTTCAGAAACTCGTTGGTCTGCCCTTTGCCATCGGCCCTTGGTGCTCACAGTCCCCCCGTGGTACTTGCTGGACCGGACTGGGACTGACTGGACCTTCCGCTGACTGACTGTGGACTTACCGCTATCCTACCGACGTTGTACTGCTGTTGCACTGCGGTTTAGTCCACCTCTTGCCTCTCCACTTGACCACTTGCCTACCTTCTAGAAGGTCTACAGCTAAGCTTCTGGAACTCACTAAGACTCCTACGCTATAGACCTACAGATCGAACCCCTGCTGCCTATGGACCTACGACAGGCCTACCAACTGCCTACGAATACACAGGTCACAGGTTCAATTCTCGGGGTCTACACAGATACTGTACATGGGTAGGGTGAGGTCTAGGGATCGAACCCTGGGTACTGCATCCGCCACTGCTAAAAGGTGAAAACCGTTTCACGGACACAGTTCAGATACATTCTCGATTCAAATGGCTATGGCGCAACAGCGCCTGTACAACACTCTGTTTGTCACTGCGCCTCACTCTGCTGTACACGCACACTCAACTAGGATCACCCTGGATACCCCACACATCACACACTCTGAACACTCGCACACACACACTGCACTTCACTACCAGCTATGGCGGCTATGGCTGCCCTACTCTATCGCTATGGCTACCCTACTCTCCTTCAGCCCACTTCGACTTTGGGCGCCTCTGCAGACCACCTCGCACAAGTCACTATGGCAGCGCTTCCGCATGGCTTCCACAGGAATGAATCCATGGCTGTGCGCTGCCTCTTGATTTATACTTCTGTAACTCGTTGATCTGCCTCTTTCCACCGGGCCAATGGTGCACACAGTCCCCCTTGGTACTTGCTGACTGTGCAAAGTAAGACTGGGACTGGGTACCGCTGACTAAGCGAAGTTGGACGCACCACTTGCCCACTTGCCTCTGGCCTTCTGTGTAAAACGTGAGAGGAAACTCGAAAGGCCACTTCCGGACCTTGGACTTGGCCTTTCAGTACTGTAGCAGCTACGACCTTGACCCTTCAGGACTGTAGCAGCTACGACCTTGACCAAAAGGAGGAGCTACAGCTACGACTTCTAGACTCACTAAGACTCCTATCCGACAGGTCTACAGATTGAATCCCCTACAACCTACGGACCTAAAACAGCCTACCAACTGCTTGCGAATACACAGGTCACGGGTTCAAACACTCAGGGGTAAACTCGATACTGTACATGGGTAAGGTAAGGTCTGGGGATCAAACCCTGGGATCTACATCTGCCTCTGCAAAGGTGAAAACCGTTTCAGGAAGTCTCCACCTGGCTCTTCGTTAGTGTAAAGGTCAGTCCGTAGTGAGTCAGTCAGTAGGATCTAGAATGTTAGGTCTGTCTACAAATTCTAGTCAGCATGTAGGATAGTCCACCCCGTCCAGTCAGCAAGTACCAGGGGGAGTTCCACGCGGTTTGGGCCCTCCAGCCCCACGCGGCTTGGGCCCTTCTGGGCCACGCGTTTTGGCACATCCCCAGGCCCACACGGTTTGGCCCTTCCAGGCCCACACGTTTTGCCCAGGGCTGGGGCAGACCAGACCACTGCGACACAGTATAAATAAAGAGGCAGCGTACAGCCATTCATTCACTCGCCAAAACGACGGTGGCCATAGCTAAGAGGAGGAAGACGACGGCGGCCATAGCTGCCAAGCTGCTGACGTCAACAGAGTGTACAGTGTGTGTCTGTGAGGCCTGGAAATTCAGGGTGGATCTTCGTGTGTGTATGCGTGGATATAGTGAGGCTGATGGTGGATACAGTGTTCGGTTGGGACTACAGACAGTGTTCGGCGGCCATAGCCGCAAGTTATAACACTTGACTTGAGCTGGGTTTCTGGCCAGAGGCCATATCTCTGAGTTGTCTGTGTGGGCGCATGTCGCCAGTGCAAATTCATTGCTGGTATGAGTTGATGAAGTTGGTCTGCCATCAGTACATACGTGTATGCATGTTGCGAGCGGGATTGATAAAAGTCTGATTTCACTGGTATCAGAGCTGGTACCTGTTGTCTACGCCATACGGACAGAGCTGCGAGGCGGCAGAAGGCCCCCATAGCTGGAGAGCGGCAGAGAGAGAGGGAAGGAGACCCGCAAAGAAGAAGAGAATCCGCCATAGCCGGCGGCGGCCATGGCCGCCGAGCTCGGAGGAAGAAGAAGACAGGCAGTTGGACGAAAGAGAAGTAGACGAAGGAGAGAGAAAGAGGTGACGAAGGTGAGGGAAGCCATAGCCAACAAGAGGAACGAGAAGTCGGCCATAGCCAGACTTGAGGGCGAAGGGGAAGAGCGAGCTGGTGAAAGTGAAGAAGAGAGAAGGAGCCTGTTACGGACTCATCGCGGGCTCGATCCCTGGTCTGCGGGTTACCACCCGCCAGGCTACTATTCTATTTTGAGTCTCTGATCTCCAGTTCCTGACTGTTGGCGCCCTCTGCAGTTGGCGCCCGTTCTCAGATCCCTCCTCTGGCACTTTTGGATTTCGATACTCGGCGCCATCCGGCATTCTGGCGCCCAGACTCAGACCTTCAATTTTCAGTTCAGCCCCGAGGCAAATTGCACTTCTACCCTTGGGACTCAACTTGAGTCCGGTTCTTTAGACCTGACTCAAGCTGAGCTCGGGCATTTGGTTTTCGGCCCCAGTGCGTGTGCTTCGGTGTGACTTGCTGCAACATTGTGTTCGGAACCCAAGATTGCGACTTTGCC